ACTCATGTTTCAAGACAAAGGATTTTTTTACATGAATGTGAGGCTAAGGATGTATAAGTATTCTTATTTATTCTTATTTAATTTATTCAAAGGGTCTATTAATCATTTGATCATAATCTTTCTGGTCTTTCTCTTTTTCAGGTGGAGACAAATAAGGACAAAGCAAGAAGAGGATGAACACATTCACTATCATTCAAGATGGATGATTTTATCGCAGTCCAGGACCCAGGTAAACACGTGTTCTTATACACAAAACGTAAGCTGGCTCAGATTCTCAATTATCCTCCTGAAGTTGATCTCAATTTTGAAAGGGGTACAAACAGTAAACAAGCGCGTCCATTGAAAAAAGAAAAAAAGAAATAAAAATATAAAAAGGAAAGAAAAAGGAAAAAATAAAGATCTGAGCTGTATTTGAACCTGTGACCGTCGTGAATTACGGATTGAATAGCGACAGTGATCTCCACTACACCACGCAGTACACATCTGATCGTCGACACAAATAATTCCTCAAATATCACAACTTCTGCCTATTTAGCATTTGAATGCTGCAAGATTTTTTGTGAATATGTCATTGATATCTTGAAAGTTTTAAATTCAGAACCAAGGATAAANGACCTCGACTCCGTCTCGGTCCATAAACACGCAAAAAAAGAACTTGGTCAATATCCAGCCATCTTGACCTCACACTTGGTCAATAACCCATACTTATTTAAATGTAGGCGCCATTTATCCAAAGGGTCTATTAATCATTTGATCATAATCTTTCTGGTCTTTCTCTTTTTCAGGTGGAGACAAATCAGGACAAAGCAAAAAGAGGATGAACACATTCACCATCATTCAAGATGGATGATTTTATCGCAGTCCAGGAGCCAGGTAAACACGTGTCCTTATGCACAAAACGTAAGCTGGCTCAGGTTCTCAATTATCCTCCTGAAGTTGATCTCAATTTTGAAAGGGGTACAAACAGTAAACAAGCGCGTCCATTGAAAAAAGAAAAAAATAAAGAAAAATATAAAAAGGAAAGAAAAAGGAAAAAATGAAGGTCCGAGCTGTATTTGAACCTGTGACCGTCGTGAATTCCGGATTGAATAGCGACAGTGATCCCCACTACACCACGCAGTACACATCTGAATGTCGACACAAATAATGCCTCAAATATCACAGCTTCTACCTATTTAGCATTTGAATGCTGCAAGATTTTTTGTGAATATGTCATTGATATCTTGAAAGTTTTAAATTCAGAACCAAGGATAAATTTTGGCCTAAATTATGCGTTTGCAATGTAACAAAATTTTGCGCCTTTTAAAAAGTACGATTGGAAATGGTTCCTGGTCGTCGCCTTTCGTGACACTTCCGATCGTTTATCGACATGACGGTGACTATGTTATAGACACGTAAGCGCATGAGAGATTCGGGGCACCCGACAGTGTAAACGACAGAATCAAACTATTGTCAGTACGTGGAGGGGAACTTTT